TCCTACGGATACAGCTACGGATACGGATACTACGGAAGCAAGGGAGGAAAAGGAGGAAAGGGATCCAAGGGAGGATATGTTGGATACGGACCTTCCTACCCTGCACCTTCTTACCCATCATACGGTGGAAACTGCTACGAAGTCTGCTACGGATATGGCGGAAAGGGAGGAAAAGGAGGATACTACGGAGGTTACTACGGAAGCAAGGGAGGAAAAGGAGGATACTACACCTCCAGCTGCGAAGTTGTCTGTGACGGACCTTCCTACGCACCTTCTTATGGATCTGGAAAGTACGGATACGGATACGGATACTACCATGGAGGCAAGGGAGGAAAGGGATCCAAGGGAGGAAAGGGATCCAAGGGTGGTTACTGGGAAGTTGTCTGCGATAACGGTCCTTCTTACGGTCCTTCTTATGGCTACGGAGGCAAGGGCGGAAAGGGAGGAAAGGGCTCCAAGGGTGGATACTACGGAGGTAGCAAGTACGGATACGGCAACAGCTGGTACGGATACGACTACGGCTACGGAAACAAGTACGGACCTGGCCCATGGCGATAGGCGCTCAACCCTCGCCGCCATAGTGTTCGGGTATAGCATCCCAAGAAGGATGTTTGTTTGAGTACCCGAGTCTAGACGTGTTACCACCGTTCCGTTTCCTCATGGCTGTTGCGGGAGGTTGTTGGTTTGATGAAGCTCATGGTTGGCGTGAAAGAGTCTCATCTTGGAGAACTCTTTCGCTGTGTCCAATCTGTTTGTGTGCGATCCTCAGGCCAGCTGTTTGATCTTCCTACTGTCGTGGTCTTGATACGGAACCTTTTAAAAGTACATTATGTGACCTTTCTTTGTACCACTTATATAGAGCATCATTGTTATACCAAAATTAATTGTTCTATTGCGTACAAGKACCACACCGACTACTACACCGACTATTTAGATGTTTTAGTGACTATTTACAACTTCGCCATGGTGGAAAAGGATTTCAATCCTCTTCCTAAGGACTTTTTCGCCAACATTTTCAAGGACCGGAAGTCCCAGCAGAGCTGCGGGACTTTTCAAACCTTGGTCGACATCGGTATCCACGACTAGCCCCCCGGCGCGCGGGAAATATTGGCGGCAAGACGTGCTCGCGACCTTCCATGTATTATTTGAACAACGACGATCCTTTCGGCCATYGGTCGTGCCGGCTCGGCTTTTCGGAGGATATCCCGGATGGGAGCCCGGATGGGAGCGCGGCATCCGATCAAAAATTTCGTCGACAAAGCGAACCCGAAGGAATGTCAACGGAAAACCGCACGAACCATCAGGATCCGGGAAACAGAGGCCTGGCCCTAGTCAAGCTAGTCAAAAGATCAAATCCTGCCTCCGCGTTTCCTCGATCGACTGACTCCTTTGACCTAGAGCACAAAACGACGGCCTCGAAGCCTGAATCATCTCAACTGCTGCGCGGGACTCACTCATGAATGCAGTAGAATGAACAATGAATACAGTAATGCAACTTCGGGTTGCCATCGAACCTCATCGACCGCTGCTGTACGGTAGTTACCAAGCTTCTGTCACGAATTACGATACTCGTACTCGTACCTTCAAGGGAGCCCATATAGGCTGTTGACAAGAGACTCGTCTCCCATTCCTTTTCTTTCACCAGCGTGCGAAGTATTCGTCGACGAAACAAACAATGACGGAAGGAGATTTTGAAGTGCGTTTGGTTTGAAWGTGTTTTGATGTAGTAKATCGGAAACAAATCGTAAACAAACGAAGTCTTCGTGTCTGTTGTGTTGGGTGGTGTTTAATTTTCCCTAGTSTTTACCCTCACGTTCTTTTGTACCGGCATTCTCCATTGATTGCAAAACCGAATGCAAACGAAACCAAMCCATCGAACGAACGCYACCGCGATACGCACGCGAAGTATCCCGAATTCTACTCCTTCCCACCCTTTTTCACGATCCAACCGGTGGAAGCAACGCGGCAAAAACAGCTAGCGCTGTGGAGGGAACTCATTCTGAAATACCACACGCAGAACAAGCTGAAAACACTGGTGGTCCACGAATGCCCCCTCTGGAAAAACGATAGCATCGGCCGCAAGCTGGACGAGACCGCGGTGCGGACCGTCTGCTCGGACCTGGTCGACTCCGGCCACGGCGAATGGCTCGACGAGGAGGAAACCGCGTGCCGGATCCTGTGGAGGAAACCGGAGGAACTCGCAACGGACGTGTACGAGTGGGCCTCCCAAACGGGCAACGTCGGGGGCGGGATCTGCACCCTGTACGAGCTGCACTCCGGGGAGGACGTCAACGGGGCCAGCTTCGAGGGGATCGACGAGGAGCTGCTCCGGCGGGCCCTGGCGATCCTGGAGGACGAGGGMAAGTGCACGGTCTTTCAGGGAGAGACCTCGTCCGAGGACGGAATCAAGTTCCATTGATCGGGGGAAGGGTGGGGCGCCGTCCAGAGTGCTTCGATTCGAGACCGGTGCAACGCGGCATGGCTGCTTTGTGGTGCTGCCGCAAACGGAGCCTCCGGCGATCGAAGGCAAACCTTTTCCGCGSTCCGGCAGCCCTAGATTGCACAAACCGACRAACAGAAACCAACACACGGGCAGAGAGATGGATGGATGGATGGGCGTGTTGTTCTCTAGAACTTCGCACCTCGTGTTGTCTGCTTTTTGTCGCATCCTCGAGCGAATGAGTCGAACGCCAAAACACGGAGAGAAAGCTCTTGGTGACCAGTTGCCATTTTCGAATCCAAAACAGTTGGCAATGCACGGGCGTCATCAAACGCACCTCTAATYATACTGTAAACCATACAATCATATATCCGGTGACGTTATAAGTTTCCTAGTATTCAATGTTCTTCAATCGAATCGAATGCAAGCGATGGATCGAACGACACAGTTCACAAACATTTGTGGTGCATCGCGGACCCACCAAACAAAGAAAATGGCCTCTTATCGCCTTTTTTAAATGGCGTGTAGGATATTCTCTTGCCACGGTGTGGCACGGTGTGGGTGGAAGGAATGGCCCAAGGTTTGCACCCGATTCATGGCGCATTGCGAACCATGCATTCCATTCCAGTCTTTCGTTGGGATGGATCGAGGCTCTTCGGTCATGCCACCGGTRTCTGTTTCGTGGTGGCTTGAATTCGCAGCACGGTGCCTGCATTCGATGAAATCCACCGAGGTCTCGACCAAACAAAGTTCCGGCACTGCCTGCCTGCCTGCCTGCCGTTGGTTCCCTTTTCGATTTGGTGGTGCCTTCCTGTTGTTCCCTTCGCCAACCGCGTCAGCGGTGTTCTTGCTCCCGTGGCGGCTGCTGCTGCTGCTGTTGTTGTTGTTGTTGTTGATCGTTCTCCTCCTCCCGGCGGCACCATCGTTCCGCGTCGCGGTATCCCCGCTCGAACAGGTCCGTCAGCTCCTTTCTCGAGGTCGGCTGCGTGGCGATGCGAAAAATGTCGGAGGTGCTCAGCGGCTCGGTGTCGTCGTCGGCGGCGTTGATGGAGATCAGGTTGTTGTGGCGGTGGTTGCTGTTGCCGCTGCTGCTGCTGCCTCCGCTGGCAGATCCGGAAGAATCCTTGTCCTTGTCCTTGCCCTGGGCTCCAAAGACCGCGTCCATTCCAAAGAGTTCCTGCGGGATGCACGAAATCGCCACGGTCCGATCGACGCCCGAGTCCGGGAATTCGTCCTGGAGGATGGGGCAACCGAACTGGGACCGGGGGACCGAGAAATATCCGTCCACGACCAGCCGCGGGAGCCCTCTTCCGAGCCCTCTTCCGAGCCCTCTTCCGAGCCCTCTTCCTTCACCAAAGTCGACCAGGCAGGGAAAGTTGGTCGTGAAAAACGGAAACATGCAGCTGTGGCCCACGGACCGAAAGAGGTCCTCCCTCGTTTCGAACCTGGTCTCGAAGCGCGAGGCCTGGGTTGGAAAGACCTCCCTGTGCGCCAGGACCACCCCGGTGCCCGTTTTTTCGCCGGTCCTGCTCCCCCTTCCGCCCCGGCGCTCCTTCAGAAACGAAAAGGCCTCTTCCCCCACCAGGAGCTCCATCTGCTCCCCCAGGAGGGGCAGCAGGTTCCCCCGGGCGGGGATCCCCTTCTCCAGGCACCGGTCCGAGATGGCGATCGTTCCCTCCAGGCCCAGGCGCGGGTCGAGGCCGCAGCCGATGGCCATGCTGGCGATCGMACCCGCCGAGGAACCCGCCACGACGGTTTCCGACGGGTCCAGGTACTTCTCGGAGACGAGGCAGTCCGCCACGCCCATGTGGTAGGGAAGGAGCAGCCCGCCGGGGGAAAAGGAAAAGCCGATGCTTTTGCTTTTGCTTTTGGTGTTGCTGTTGCTGTTGGTGCCGACGGTCCGGAAGGCACCGGCACAACCAATGGCGCTCGCCGCTAGCACCGCCGTGGTTGCGGTTGCCAGCGAAGAGGCTCTGCGCGGGAGGATCATGGCGGGGGTGTGGGTGTTAGCAGGTGCGGCGACGGTGCTTTTGCTTGTGCTTTTGCTTTTGCTTTGATTCCAACGGGACGCAACGGGATGTGGGAGTAACTCGGTCCAATTGGCTGCGGAGACGGTGGATTCCTGGCATGCCATGTCAWTCCGCCAGAGACACAAAAAAGACGGAAAATGGAAGTGAGCAGTACAAGTAGTTAACAGTCAACAGTCAACAGTCAACAGCCGCCCCCCGAGTTTTCTCGATCACCGTGTCAGCAGACAAGGCAACGACAGGCATTGGTGTGTTTGTGTTGACTCGTTGAGGAACAAAATCTCGATGCACCTTGAATTAAGAACTAAATCTGTACTTTGAAGATGACTACCATTGCACTAGCGATACTACTACTACTTGTGGTACTAATACTAATAGTGCTAATCATACTGAAAGGAGGACTTCCTACTTATCCTATACTACCTCGGCATTCCTTCTTGACTTTGTTCTCAAACATTGCTTTGCTATGAATGGGTACTGCAGTGAGGAGATGGTGAGACTGATGTGACGACAAGCAGGAGAACCCCTTCCTCACCATTGGTAACTAGTACTAGAGGAGAGAACAAGGACGACAAAGCCATATACTACTCGTACTACTACAAAGATTGATAGTCGGCCTCGCTCGCCAATCCGAGATTATCCTACCGCAGCACTGCACTCCCAGAGTTCTAGTAAGCTACGTTCGCCACGTCCCAATTTTGGCATGCCTCAGACGTTCGAATCGATTGCTCCCAGCTACTAGACCCACAATCGTGTTTCACGTTGCCACTACGACAGARCAAGAAAACAGAACGAAGGAACGACAACGCCAKCTCCAACAACGCAGGCTAAGAGCTCCAAGGAAAAGCTTCGCGCGCGTTGGCACAAACATCCAAAGTTTCCCTCCGATGGTACCGTGCCATACCGTACGGAATACCTAGCKTGTTTTTTGTTCTTGCCAAACACCAATCCTGCCTTGTGGATACCCTGCTCTTGTGTTGGCCCARAATGCCATGGTCGTTCGTCCCGCGCTACGCGAATTCGTCGCATTCTTCGTAGAGACGCCACCGGTGGAAGCGTTCCAGGACCACCCTCAGCCGCTGCCTCGTCGACGGAACCGACAGGAGGAGGGCCCGGAGCTCCTGGATCTCCGCCTCGTCGACCCCCGATCCGCCCGAGCAACGGACGCYKCTTCCGCTTCCGGAGCCGACCGCTCTTCCGATCGGCAGGACGGCCTCGAGCAGGTAGGCCGCCGAGTAGCTCAGCCGCCGCTGCCGGCGGCGGTGGGGATAGCCACCACCACCACCACTCGAACGGCCGGGGTCCCCTTGGCTGTTTCCGTGCTTTGTGTCGTGGGCAGCCTTTAGCGAAAAGCCGGGAGGCCAGGCCCTCGGCATCTCGGGTTCGCTCGGGAGCAACCGCAGCAGGACGGGGGAGATCTCTTTCTTTGTGGCCTTTAGAAAATAGTCGAGGACCAGCCACAGCTCGTATTCCAGTTCGTCCGTGGTCCACGAATGGGTGGTCGACTCCTTCGTCTCTTCGGAGGACGACGAGGCGTAGGTAGGTTCCGCGTTGTAGCTAAACCTTCGGTCCGACGGGGGAATCTTGGTGATTCCCCGCCGCAGGAGCTCGAACTCGAGAGAGGGGGCCGCCCGTGCCGGGTCTTTCTCGGAAGGACTCGAGCCGCTCGCTCCGGTTTCGTCTCTTGGTGTCGGGGTGGTTCCTCGCGTCGTCGTTGCTGCTGCTGCTGTTGTTGTTGTTGCTGCTGTTGTTGCATTCAGAAACGACGAGGCCGCAAACGGGCAGTACGGCAGGTGGGCCCTCGAGATGGCGTTGTGGGTAATGTCAAGGATCCCCAGATCGCTCTTGTTCGGTATCCCGTCGAGGCGCTGCTCGGAGTCGCACTCGTACCGGTGGTAGACGTGGATCGAGTCCTCGACGGCTCTGGCGCGTGCCGGACCCGCGGAAGCATCCTCGTCGGCCCGGAGGGAGTCCACCAGAAATTGCTCGTCCGGATGGTCTCCGCACGAGTAGATGGAGGGGGACGGAAGGCTTTCACTCCCGTCCGTTGCGGGCGGATCGAACTCGAGTTCCTCCACATCGGGCAGGATTCTCGCRTCGACAATCGCGTACGGCAGGCTCCGGTGGACTTTTTCGACGACAAAGGTTTCCGCCGCGTGCACCAGCGCAAGAATCCTTCCATCCCTCAGGCGGCGATAATCTCGAACGTACATGAGYGTGCCCAGGACCGCCGTGGACGACAAGGGACTGTTGCCCCGGCGGTTGGTTCCCGAATCCTTCCAGTTCAGCAGCCGGTTGCGCTTGGAGTCTTTGTTCCCTCTTTTTCCGTTTTGTTTCGGAGCAGCACTGCCACCTTCCGACGAGGCCTTCTTTGCGGAGGAATCTCCCTTCTTTTTGAACAAGTTCTTCTTGTTGCTTGTCGCTTTGGCACTGCCGTGTTCATTAGGGGTAAACAGATGACCGAAAACCCACGGCGAAATCGAATTCGTGTCCGCGTCACCGTCCGGTCCCTTGATTTTGTTGTTGTTGTTGTTGTTGTCGGAAGTGTAAAACATTTTTTCGAACATGTTCGTATAGATCGGATCCTTTAGGATCAGGACATTCGATCGCCCCGGAAGCTCGTACCAGGCCGCACGGAACAGGGGCAATCTCTGGATGGTGCCAGTGGATACATCGTGCCTCGGAGGTCCGTCCTCGTCGTTGCCGACAGCACCGTTTTCGTCTTCGTCTTCGTTTGTGCCGCGGTCTCGCTTGGAGGCACTGGAACCGTAAAAGGACATCTGCAGCGAGCGAACGACGGCCATTCGTCTCTGGAGCTCCTCCTCCGATTCTTCGCCCCCCTCTTTCGCGGCTTCCTTTTCGTCGTTGCTGTTCGAGACGGAGAGAACAACCGGCGAGTCTATGGCTCCTGCGGCGACGTTTCTCGGGAAACAACGTGCTTTCAAAGTGGAAGCAGTAAACGCCACGGCGACATCCCCGATGGCCATTGCCAGGGGCACCAACGAAAGACGCCTCATCCTGCCTTGTTTCTTGCGCAATCGTCGCTTTCTGTCGTGGACCCGGTGTTCCGCAAAATCAATCACGGTAGTTTTCTCGTTGGTATTCTTGAGAATTATTYYGCCGCGSCCTCAATCTTTAGTTTGTTATGTGCCAGTGATCGATCAACCTCTKTGGTYTGACTTGGATTRTGTCGCTTTGTTAACCGACAMGGCATCTGTCATGAGAATGGTGTAGGTAGAAGAGGCGAAGAAATGAAATGACTTGCCGCACATCGGCATCATCTGTCGTTTTTCTCGTCCGGAAGAAYCTCTCGATCAAGCCCTACTGCTCGTCAACAGAACCAGAATTCAAAAAATGTGGTGCGAAGAAATATGCAATCATTCCATGATCAGCCAGCCAATGAAATCAAAACAGCAGATGGCCTAGTTCGTAGGCTATTTCCCCTCCTTGGGTGTGCACGACTGGCTGACTCAATGATTTTTTCGCGTGAAAGTGAGAAAATACAAAATACCTACTTGTACGAGTACCTACCGTACGGTACCAAACTGTTCTAAATATTTATGATTGGGATGGATGTGGAATTTTTCTCAGAAATCTGTAATATTATTGTTATCAAAATTATGTGTCAAAAATTAGTATCAAAAATTAGGAAAATTGTCKCAACCGTTCTCGGGCACGGTGGGTCTTAGAATCGGAAACTCGCCATGCTGATTTCTTCTTCGTTCGTCAGATCGTGGCGGTTTTCGATCCGATCGAAATCCGTGCAAGCGCGGAAGCTGGGGCGGTTCTTGTAGTAACAAGAGAGGCGCCTCGCGGGGAAGGACGCGGGGCTGCCGTGGTGTGCAACCGGGACGAACGGAGCGGCGTGATCACCAWGTAGGGCTACGATTGATGTCGTCGATGTTTCCGAAATGCGTCGCCCCTCGTTTGCTTCGAAACTTCGATAGGAAACATTCATCGGATTGTTCGTCTCCATGTTCCGCCTGTCATTGGTGGGGACGTGATCAGTGAGGGGATGCAAAGCGGTGGTTGGGTTCGAATCGAGCCCAACGTCCGATCGCTCATCTTGTTGTCGGACGCTCTGRACAAYAGAATCTTTATCTGGCTTTYTTTTGCTGTGTCTGGTCTTTTTCCATTGTTTGATTTGTGCACGGATTGCGTGCCCCACCTTCTGGTGTATCTGGTCCGCGGTCATCTCCGTCCACTGGTCGGCGTTTGTTTTTGTGAGGAATCGGGATCCCCCGTCGAGGAGCTGATCGACCAGCGATGCCACCACGATTCCTTTCTTCATGCGGCTGGATGCCTCCGTGTACCGCTGRACGTTTGACCGGACAAGGATCGAGAATTTCACGTTGCCGGGATGCTTGATGTAGGATCTTCCGCGCCCACACAAGATGTCTTGTTCCGTTGGTTGGGTAGCGACCGTTTGTGATTGGTTGTAATTCATCTGCTATGACAAGGATTTGTAAGATTKAAGTGTCGTTCTGTATTTATGTGTTGTTGGTGTGTTAGACTTCTTGCGTCTTTCAATTTGTGAGAAGACCAACTTTCTTCATTTTTACGTCATAATTTTTTATGTTTGTTTTAATCTTGTGAAATCTTTATAAAAACGTAAAAATTAAAATATTCCTTAGATTTATGGAGCATACGTGAGAAATTTGAAATAATAAATAAATGACGAGATCTTCTGTGCAGTTTTTCCTACCATGATTCTTGCCGTGAGACGCGTGGCGCCAATTTTTTCAACATAATCTTGCATAAGATATTTTTCTATTTTTAGTGAAGCGCCCGGTCTCTGCGTTTCAAGTCTAAAATCTAAAATATTTGATGCCAGGATCTTCGCCTTTTCGTGAAAGAGGCTGGTATGAACATGTTGGATTCCTCTTCTTCGCTTATGGGGGCGTGCGGCATATGTAGCGGTGTCGTTAATCGAAACACATCAGAAATCTTCGATCACAATGTCAGAAAATGCAATCCGTGGTGTTCCGGATGATTCGTCACAAAAGGGATCGTCATGCTTGGATGGGGGAGGGGCAACAATCGACATCCTGCCCGCAGATCTGGTGAAAAGACGAGCCCTAGAGTAGGCGAATAAGGAAACAGCAGGAATGTTAGAATTGTGGAAAAGATGATCATCTATAGGATTCATGTGAAGCATCCTTGAATAGATGTCATTTCCAAAGTATACGGGAAGACGCAACAGCATGGCAGTAACTCGCTCCTACAACTTAAAAAGACACGTCGGATCCCGTCAGAGACGATGACAACAATGACAACAATGACAACATGGTTGCTGCTCCCGTRTGTGTCGATTGGAATGTCTTGAAAACGAACGATGCATCGAATATAAACGACGACAATCATTACGACCTGGGTCGTGGTGTTGGTGTCAATCCCGCATCCAAGAATTGGACGATATCGCACATACGGTGGCCGAAAGTCACGTTGTTCAAGTCCTCCATCAACATTGGGGTGAGTTASAATGCGCGACGAAGATCGTCAGCACAATCGACGAGGCAGACCCTGGGGAATCGTTTGTTGTAGTGTATGATTGAAAGTGAATGAACTTCGAAAAATTTACCGGATCGCTGGAATCCAGGATGAGTGAGAAGCGCAAATACAATAATATGGCAGATCTAGCCAAGCCGTAGTCACATCAAAGCATGGAAAATCGAAAAATTCGCTAATCTTAATAGCAAATCAAATCTCGATAGAGATATATTTGATGATTGTGGTTATGCCCTCATCTTTCCACTAGACGGTATCTTCTCTTTGCTTCATGTCCAATTTTTCCTTGACCTGCTGGCTTTGCAACAATAATTTTGTCAGTCGGGTCCGGAAGCAAGCGCCAGAAGCGTGAGACTCTTACACACGCAGCCACTGCATAAGATCGTTGTCGAAGGGTTGTTGCTGGCGTACACGCTTGATTACTACCGGAGCTGAAGTCAGGGCTGCAGCAGGATTTCAGATGGGTTCATTCAAAGGGAAGGCAGCAGAATTGTATATCGTAGGTGTGTAGTAGAAGACAAAAGCCATAGATGCACAACAGACGGGACGGGCATGATGCTTATTTCGATAAGCTTATACTGTTATTAGTTTCGTTGTATGTTGACTTCTCTCTTAAATTGTGAGACGACGAAGAACACAAACAGATGTTGGCTTTTCTGTTGTTTCTTTCGATTTCCAGCACATCAAACGTAATAATGATCTGTGAACAAATCAATAAGCCCTTCACGGAAAATCACGTCMAGATTCCAGATTGACTTAAGTCGTACTATGTACGATACGTACCTACGTACCCGCAACACACATACCCCAAGGTATGAGGTATGTGCATTGTACCGGTACTCGTAACTCTTACCCAGAGCGTAGCATAGTCACKTGGGGTGGTACAGTGCAGTACGTACCTCTACCAGAAAAAAGGATTCTTTCCACGCGGAACCTTCTTCCATCTTCAAACAGTTCTTAGTCACCGATCACATCACGAGAAACAATACGGTTGAAGTGGGAACAAAAACTCTTACGAACCATCATKAGGAAAAAGAAAGAAACCTTAAAATTCAAGGTAGAAACCGACCTTACCAGCTGCATCATTACTTGTTGAATCTAGTAGTACACCCAGCTTGTGAAGAGATACAAAACGAAGAACAATGCAAGCAACAGTAACACGTTTCGTGTTCGCCACCGCTGTCATTGCTGCTGGCTGCAATGCCTTTGTTCCGATCACAACAACGTTATCGTCGGCGCGACAAGGCACCACGAAGGATGGGGATGATGTGCTCTTGCGGGCTTCGGAAGAAGATTCCTCTTGGTCGTCCACATCTACCGATGTCTCTGGGAATGCCGTTATTGAAAGAACTATTCTTCCCGACGGAGTCATCMTCAACGAGAAACTCGTCCTAAGAGACATTACGCCCGAGGAACGGGGAAAGGGTGGCGTCGAAGTTGGCCAGGGTGGAAAGATCAAGGCACTGGAAGTATTGGCACGCATCCCCCGTGATTTGATCATCTCGACACTCGATGTTCCCGATCGTGCGATAGAAGCCGCTTCTGGAGCTAGAAATCTGACCTGGGCAACCGACCTCACCGCCGCTTCACTAKCGGCATTGCATCCGATCGAGGAAGAGCTTGCTGCTTCTGCCTCTGTCCAAGCGAGAAAAGAATGGGTGCAGTCGTGGCAAGCCGGGGGATGGGCTACGGACGGAGCTGATCTCGGGCCACCCGACGCCAACTTCGGATCGAAGGACGTGACCGGTTCATTGCTATCCACGGGAACGGACAACGACCACAATATCTACGCCAAATTCCGCATGCCCTGTCATCCTGTTTTGTTGCGCGCYTCACTGGGATTGSAGGTTTTGACGAAATGCACCGAGGAARAAGCCCGCGAGGCATTGACGGCACGTGGATTCACGTATCGAAGCATGAGGGATGCTCTGGAACCCCTGGTCCTCGAATCGACGGAACGAGCGAAGGGGTCCAAACGGGAAAAACGGTGCTGGGATGTGGCGGATACCCTTAGCCGGGTCTTGTCGAGAGCGACCACGCTGCAGCTCGAAGAGACCAACGATAGCGAAGAACTTTCTCTCGCCTATGCTATTGTTCCCCTCCACGAGCAATTGGAACACTCCGTGAAAGAAAACTCGAAGCTGGTATCCAACAACAATGGAGACGAAATCTTGCTTGTCGCGACCAGAGACATCGGCGAGGGAGAAGCCATCACCCGGGATTACAATTCGAGCCCAAAGCTGCTCAACGACAAATCCGAGGGAGCCCTCCATCTCTTGTTGCAGTTCGGTCTTCCACCCAAGGCATGGCCCAATTCCCCRAACTGAGCTTACGAGGGTTTTCTCGATGCCCTCACGAAAATTGAAGCTATCCCGTTAATACGAGTTTGCGATCGATAGAAAATAAATGAATAATTGAAGTGCTTTGATAGATCAAGACATTTAGATTTATTATGATCCATTTCTTTGCATACGAAGGGGTCGTATGAAAGATCTCTGTGTTATTGTTTTCCCTTCYAGGTCTTCCAATATCTTTTCCTTTTTTTCTATCTAATTTTCTCAAGTCGCCTTACCAATATTGCCACTGTATACAATGTCAGAATCCCGAAGTCGCCAGTTCTGATTCGGTTTKTTGTTGCGATGCTTGGTGCTGGCACCTGTAGCAATAGCTGTTCTCACTTTTTGATCGCAGAGGGGAATACTGGCACAATATGCCCGGAATTGTACGCATAGGCGGATCTCTTTCTKTGTCAAGGTAGGTCGTGAAGAGTCAGATCCAATGTGCGGAGCATCTCCTACTCCCAGRCGGTRTCCRTAGTCATTTTCCCAATTTGAAGTCAAAATCATCTTTCGGCCYATCCAGGCATCGACTGGACCCTCCACCGGGAGACGATCAAGCAGATAACGGGCACCAGATTTGCTAAGCAGGTAGCCTGTCAAATACCACGTCATGGTAGGAAGTTTGATATGTGCGCAACCTGGAATGTCAACCAGAGGTGCTTCTTTTGGTCTTGCATAACCTAGTGCACAGTAATGGAAATCACGGGGAAGCTCTCGTAAGATTTGGTCGAGACGCTCTTGAAAGCGGTCGACCAACACAGCATCGTCTTCCAAGACCAAAGCGACAGGACAAGGTGGGATGGGGTCGTCATCATTTTTATTGTGAATCGGATCGCCACGCGCCAAGCCTGTATATGARAATTTACAAGTGTCAGATGATGCTGATGCTATGCCCTTCCATGTAGCAATRTGGCTCAGTGCACAAGCTTTTTCGCTGGGACTAAGAGAGACCATCAGGTTGGGATCGTCTGAAGCGTGAATATCAAATGCTCGGAGATCGTTTGGCCGCCACTGCGGCAATACGAGTGATTTGAGTTCTGTTTTTGATGCACCATTTTTCAATTCTCCAACATCAAGCCACTCCATGAGCATTTTCTCAACCTCGGCAGGGGATCCCTGGCTACCATCGATTGCATATGTTCCGATGTATGATGTGAGATCAGGGGACTTGTCATTAGCCATGGTTTCTCCAAGATCATTATTCTTTCGTTTCCCTTCCATCATTTTCCATCGATCTGGGGGAATGACGCCGCGCAAGACCCAAAGACCTGCATGCATTGCTTGGGCCATGAAAGATGCTATTCTATCCTGTCGCCGCTGTAGATTAATAACACGAACCATTGGAAATGCCGACCAAAAGTCAATGGGGCGAGAAAGATCGTTTCTCTTGGAAGATAGCTGYTGTTTTGGGATAGCTTTCTTTTCCTCGTTTGATGATACAATCCACCGCTGGATTAGTTTGAGTGCASTTTCCCCATCGGCCACCTCGTAACAGATACCAATCAGCGTATGTAAAGTGGTGGGAKTTATTGCACTATTCTTTTCAGTTACTATTGTTGATGAATCCCAGTCAGTCATTGATTCAACAAGGCGTGCCACTATCGATTGGACAACCGTGGATACCTCGTTTGTTGCCGGAGAASATATCACCGTTCGGTAGGATTTGAGACTGGAAATTTCCAATTGCCTCATTGCTCTCACACACGCTTCGACCACGAACAAACAGTCTMSGGATCGCAACGACAAAAACATCTCTGACCACTGTGAAAAAATCTCTCGGAGCTTGTGTCCATCTCCTTCTACCACCAGTGTCATTGGAAGCAACCATGCCATCACAATTGTCATTGACGGCAGCTCGTGATTTCCGTAGTAACCKAATTTCACATCGTCTTCTTTTTGTACCGCACTGGCGAGATCGTCGAGAAACGCCTTGCTAAATCYTCGGCATTCTTCAACGTAAAATGGACGAAGGGTTTCCGACCATTTTAAAGTATCTATTGTTYCAATAGCTAGTGGGCCCCGCTTTCTAGTAGACACGGCGGCATCGAGTTGTTCTTTCAAACGATTGTAGGCACCTACTTCTACGAGAGCAAGTTCTGAAACCCGTGAATCATCGTGGTTTGTCCGAATGCAAAAAATGGTTGCAGATATTGCAATGGATAGATGAAATGACTCCACCATAAGAAACGGATTGTTTTCATCGATTGTGTGATCCGGCAGAAGGATATTGTCCACGAGGTAGTCCAATAGAGTCCGATTCTTGGGCAAGCCCTGTGCAACTTTTGTTGGATGGCTGTTGGCATTCATACCATCGAATTGCGTGTTCAAAATGGCCTCGACAACACAGAGACTTTGAACCGGTGGGTGATTCGGATAGAAATCCTCTTCTTCTAGTTGCAGAGAAGAACCCGTGGACAAAAGGTATCGAAACAAAAGAGTTATAGCAGACGTTGGATCACTCCTATGCAGATAAATCGCTGTGACGATTCGTGCTAGTATGCAACGATCGACGATGGTGGCCAAACGAAGTGAGTTTTTAGAGTCGATGACAAGCTTCCTGCTGGTAATTCCGTTACCACCAGTAAAATGGTTTTTTTCTTTGTTGAAGTGCTGTGGTGGATTGTCAACCCGATTGAGTCGATCCTGTATGGGCCACGCATCACATATTTCACCAGCAAGGGATTCCACGAAATTTTGAACCAATAAATGACGTCGCTTCATCCCCGTAACAAAGCGCACCGCGGATTCATAGGCTGATATTTCTACCGAGTCGTCTCCTCCACCGATTGGTGACACAGGATCATTGTCGTTATCCTCCTTTCCCTCTTTCTCTAATCGCACCAGGTTCAAAAACAAGCCGCCGTCGACTTCAACTTCATYAAGGATCGGACCGAAAGCATCGATCCACGAGAGAGCTTTCAGCAGGAGATCGGTTCCCTTTACAGCGGGGTGTTGTGGTATTGCCAATGACAACGACTGAGGCGAATGGTACTCTAAATGTTGCTTTTTTGGGCTTCCATTGGCATCTTCGTGTTCATTGGTACTGGAATTGCTGCTATCTGCGTTCCTATGCATCGGAACGAAACACGGAATCAAGTCCGAAGCATCAAAGGCAGCATATTGGTAATGAAACTTAGCATTATTTCCTTTGTGAAACCGATTGTCATCGGTACTTTCCTTCGTTGGTGGGACGTGGCTTTCCTTTCCCTTCTCACTTACATCCTCGTCCTTCCTTGACGTTCTCGCTTTTGTTTGTTTCTCACTGGATCCTTGTTTTGACACCAACGGGAAGGCCACCGTAGTTTTGAGTTTTGTCCATTCCTTGATCCTTTGTAGGATATCCCCTAGAACAGCATTGTCACTGATTCGAACATAGGAAAAAGTGCAATCACCATTCCTGCTGCCGCGGGGTGTGGCGATGCTGGAGTCATCGTCATCGTCATCGTCATCGTCATCGTCATCGTCATCGTCATCGTCATCGTCATCGTCATCGTCATCGTCGCCACAATCATGTACACCAAGCAAGTCCTCTGTAGCAACGTCTCCTTGACTCTTTCCGATTTTGATTTGAAATCTTTCACAAGCACTGCTGTTTTCGTCTCCTGCATTATTATTTCCGTTGTTCTCGTGGTTGTTTTCGGGAATCGCCACTGTGGCAGCGAGGACAATCCCGATTTCCTCCAAGCAATTCTGGGCTTTTCGAAGGAGTTTCCATCCCACTCGGATACGGTTGGACACCACCGTTTCATCCTTTGTGCGGGGAAATCGATCGTGTTTCGCCRATGTTTGCGTTTCTATCTCTGCCTCCTCAGGATCCCAATCTCCTCGCCTTTCTCGCCACTGTTGCTCTCCCTTTCCATTCCTCCCCCGGACTGGATTCCGTTTGTGATTTTCCGGGATCGTTCTTGGAAACGATGCAGCACCGGCATTTTGTTCGCTGTTGCCGTCGTTGTTTTCTTCCTCGCTCTCGTCATCGTCGCTGTCAAAATGGAATTTGAAGGACCTTGGAGCAGCCGTATCGGTGGATGTTTGGAGGTCTTSCTCGGTTGCTTCCCCCGTAAGCATCGGAGATCGATTTTTTCTGTTGGTACTGCTTGCGATGTCTGCATTGTCATTGCCGCCATCACGATTGCTATCGTTTCCTTCCATTCCRCTATCATTKTCGTCTTTCGAAGACGAAGAGCATTCGAAGTCAAAGAAAGAATCTTTGCCTTCGTCRGACTGCGATGCATCGTTCGAGACTTGGTGGTCCTTCGATGAACGCACCACCGAAGCCCGGCGTTCATTCTCACGCTGCCTCTCCTCCTTTATAGTCTTCTTCAACTCTTCCAGTTCTTCCTGGTGAGCCCTGGAGCGCGTCTTCCATTTCTCGACGTCGTACGCCAGATTGAGCTGCAATGCCTTGAAATAGTCAAGGACTTTTTTGTCTTTTTTCAGCAATCGAACGAGAGCGGCAGGTGCTGGAGGCGGTGGATCGGGGCGCTGCTCCTGYTGCTGTTGCTGTTTCGACGGCGACGGCGTCCTTGGTCTTTTTCGTTGTTTCTTTCCATTTGGCGGTTTCTGTTCGTCAGACTCGGTCCGTCGCCTTTGGTGCTGACGGGGCATTTTCGATTCTTTGCAGTGTCTTCTTGCTTTGTACGGCTCGTGACATTGCTAGCACTGTGGAGTTGTGAATATTAACTCGAGCTCATGCTCATCCTATATGCAGTACTAATGAAATGGTAGTTGGCGATCATTTATGTTCATAATACTGATATTGAAATGAATGCCATCCACCGCGAAGCGATCGTTGGCAGCAAGAATCAAAATCCATCCATCACATCATGGTGATCAAAATCGAATTTCACTCAAAAAATGGAGCTCCTGTCGCCTCGGCAGGTTTAAGACTATGCATAGTAGATAGTAATCATAGGTTTTGAAAATAGATTATTAGTTGAAGTCAATACAGTAATGAACACTAAAGAACACTTTACACTTTTTGTTTTCTTCGCTTTCATGACTAAATTTCTTGTGCACACAGAAGGAAGACAATGTTATTTTTTAGAACCACTCACGGACATTCTCAAGAAGCAAAATTATCTTGACACGAGATCTGATCGTTCGTGCCTCGAAAACGATTGAAAGACATGTTCTTCTTCAACATCACGCGTCGACATTTTTGTGACCACACAGAAGGTAGATGATACTTCATAAAGTAATATCGARAATGATTTCCTGGAGTGTAACGACCAACGTGAAACAACGCCCCTAACAAGATAGTTACTGGGATCATAGGATATATTCGTTTTGAGTGTTTTGGCGTCACACTTATGGCAGTTACAGAATGCCCATCTGGAAAGTATGGTAGTAATTTTACGTTACAATATTTGATTTTAGACAGTACAACGGTATTATGGACTTTAGACTAAGGAACACCCCTTCCACTTCCCCTCCCCCCRAGCTTGCGCATGTAGAAAAATAAAATGTAGCACAGTAGTATAGAACATGATGTATAGTTCTTCCCGACCCAAAATGTGGTGCTAGTTGAATGATATTCGATTCGATGGGTTCGTTGAAAGARGAATGTCTCGGGCATTGCTCGTGCTGCGATTGAAATCATTTTCATAATTCGAGTTCATCATCATCATGCCATTCTGGTTGTCGAAACTGTTCATMATCGACCTGTTCATCATGCTGTTGTTCGTCGCAAGACTTGGGCGAGGCTGTATCTCGTAGGGCCTGTCCAAAGGATTTTCAACGGGGGTGGAAAGGAAACTGAATCGTCGCTTGGGCTTGTCGAGACCGATTACCAAAGGAGCGGGGGTGCTGTTGGGAAATTTKGTGGTAACCTTTATCACGTCCATGTTTGGCGGTAGTGGCGTTGGCATGAGAAAGTCCTCTTCCGAAGTTTTCATGCCTATGTTGTTACCGTGCATTCCTTGTTCAAGTTCGGTCAGAACATACTCATCACTCTCGGGTCCCTTTGGTTCGAGGCTATACCGACGAGCAACACGATGCCTGGGTGATTGGTGATGCTGCTGCTGTTGCTGGTTCTGATTATTGTCTGCGAAGACAAATGTCTGCCCGCCAAACATTAGACTATCTCCTTCGCCGGCACCAGGAAGTGRGAAAAAGTCATCGTTTCTCCTGTAGTTATTGGTTGACGCTTGCCCTATTTGCATCTCTGAGTTTATAGATACACGCGGAATCATCCCCGACATGTTGGCGAGGGCGTTCGATGCTACGGCGGCGTTTGCCCTGTTCGAAACCATCTCGAGCTTCCGCTGGATCTCCTCCTTTTTGCGTTCCAGATCGGCCACCTTTTGTGCCGCAGCCTTGAAGCTT